TGATTACCTAATAAAAGCCAATTAGTCCACCCTAAAGAGTCTTGATGGCCCTAATTGTTCTCCAGCAGGAGAGCAGTTTCTGTCTCATTTACAGAGAGGAGCACCAATCTACCAAAATGTTCTCATTCCACAAACAAGGAGCCACTTAAATGCCCAAGGACTCTACCAAGTGCCAATGCAAACCAAGGAGGAAGAAATGACTGGTCACTATGGAACCACAGTGACGAGTGACTTGGAGGCTTCCTTCAGAATCTCAGCACTTGCTTCCCTTCTTCCTATAATAGAAGTCTGTCATCTGACACTCCTTTTAACAATAACCAGAGTCCAGTGCCCAGCTCCTGAGCAGTTTTCTCCCTCATCTAATGGTTAGAATTGGAATTTATTTGTCATCCTGGCTGTTTCAGGATCTCTGCCACTGCTGTGTCCACAGAGTTCCAGGGAGGTTGATGGCTGAGGGGGCTGATTCGAGACTCGTGAAACCCGGATTTCCAGAACTGATTCCCAGTTCGACCACTTACCGTCTCTGTAAACGTGGCAAGTACTGTACTTCTCCAAACCTCAGTTTACCCAAATATAAAATGGACATCACCAGAGTACCCAATTTATGGAGTATCGTGTGAGAGTTATTAAATACTACGATGTGGATAATAATATGCCACCCAAAATACGGCATTTTGGCAGAAGGGTTATTTTGAACTAAAGGAATTGAGAAACCATAGACACAGAACAAAGCTTTCTACCTTCGCTCTGCCTTGCCTCAAAGCACAGCGTGAATTTCCCTTTGCGCTGGCCTCCCCCCTGCTCCTCGCTCTAATACCAGGAAGGGCAGAATGACAATCATCGGAGACAACTCAAGACTCTTATCAGCCTAGAGATGGCACTGAGAGGAATCTGCATTTTAAACCTGCCTCAAATGAACAACCCTTATCTTCCCTTAGTTTCCCACATATATTTAACTTCCCACAAGCTCAGAAGCTCAGATTCTTTTTCTTTTGTCGCATCCCATCTCCACATTTATCACTCATCGTTAAAATAGTACGTAAGCCTTCCGGCCTCTTTGGACCTTTCACTTCATTCCTGTCAGACTTGCCATAGTCATATGAAATAAACCTTTTTCTCCCGCCAATCTGCCTCTTATCGCTCTATTTTTCAGGGCCTCTGCCCCTCAACTTAAGAGGGTAAATGAAAAACTGTTTTATTTTCTGGCCCCAACAAATATCACAGATTCAAAAGCCTTGCTTATATCCTAGCACACCACACGCCCAACTAATGCTGGTGTTTTCTTCAGGCTCAAGAAATGCAAAACAGGGGCTCCTGGGTGGCTCAGTCGGTTAAGTGTCCGACTTCAGCCAGGTCACGATCTCGCGGTCCGTGAGTTCGAGCCCCGCGTCAGGCTCTGGGCTGACAGCTCAGAGCCTGGAGCCTGTTTCCGATTCTGTGTCTCCCTCTCTCTCTGACCCTTTCCTGTTCACGCTCTGTCTCTCTCTGTCTCAAAAATAAATAAACGTTAAAAAAATTAAAAAAAAAAAAAGAAGAAATGCAAAACATTGGACGTTACAAACATTCTCGATACATTTCTGGCAAACTCCGCTTCTTCCTAAAGGTGGTTCCCAGTGAGCCTCAACAGCCTCTGAAGCCACTTATTATTATCCTTTTCACAACGTTATTCATATTTAACACTTACTGGGAGCTCACTGTGTGCCAAGCCACCAATGCGAGCTAAGCACTATTACTATCCCTGTTTTCCAGATGCGGAATCCAAGGCTCCAGGATGCAAAATAATGGTTACATGGCCTGAGTGGCTGATTATTGTGTGACGCTACCTCCCTCAGGATGAGGTTGAGGATGGAGAGTAGAAGAAAGGAGGTGAAAGATAAGGATCCTTAGAAATGATCTCTTCTTGCAGGGGCGCCTGGGTGGCGCAGTCGGTTAAGCGTCTGACTTCAGCCAGGTCACGATCTCGCGGTCCGGGAGTTCGAGCCCCGCGTCGGGCTCTGGGCTGATGGCTCAGAGCCTGGAGCCTGTTTCCGATTCTGTGTCTCCCTCTCTCTCTGCCCCTCCCCCGTTCATGCTCTGTCTCTCTCTGTCCCAAAAATAAATAAACGTTGAAAAAAAAAAAAAAAAGAAATGATCTCTTGCTAAACAGTGCCTTGCATGTGGCCGATACTTAGATACTTGCTGAATGAATGGATGATTGACCAGATATAAAATTGAGTGAGCAGCCAAACAGGCCAGTCCTCCTGACCACAGCTCTTCAGCCGTTTTGATATTAGCAGAAAGGGCCAACTCCTCCACCCACCCAGAACTTTATAAATACTGATTTCCCATCCATTTACCTTTAAGGCATCTTCTCTCGGGTGATCACATCACATTGCTCTGTCTGTCACATTGTGTTTTACATTTTTCTCTTCCTCCTCCCCCTGTATAATCTAGAGGACAGACCAGCTGGCTACGCAGATTAAGATCCTTTTCTGCCCCTCTCTTAGCGCAGCTCCTTGGCTTGGTTCTATTAGCCAGACCGAATGGAGTGTTTTTTGAAACAGCAGTGAAATCTCTTGGAACAAAATGAGGTCGCTCCTGCAACCATTTTGCCCCAAAGCATATTTATAAGCAAGGAAGTTCCGTGTCGTTCCTTTCACCTCTTTCCCATCAGCCAGGCACAGAGCTCTGGAAGATTAGATTATTTTAAAACTATTTGAATAACATTAGCTATCACTGTGTGCTAATTTCTCTGGGCCAAACGGTTCAAGTTCAGTCAGATTAAGGGCTTCCATTAGCAGTTAAGTCTTCTCTGTCCTTGACCCTGTAATTAAGACAGATGAGACTGTGACCCCTGACTGCATTTCTACATAGTTCAGAATCCAGTCCAATTGCCTGAGGAACCTCTATAAATATTCATAGAAAACCCCAAAGTTTCTTCCAGGTCTTTAGAGAGCAATTTCAAACAAGATATGGCTTTGCTTATGGTCCACAGGCCTGAGTCAGATTCCCCTTCGGCCACAGCTTGGCAAATTACATTCTAGTGGGAAGCATTGCAGGTTCAGTGAGCTGAGATAGATCATCCAACAAGGTAATACATTCACTCCTGAATGTCCTCAGAGTGGGGAAAGGATGGCCACGTAGGCAGTATCATCCTTAGAACTGGGCAACGAGGTTCCCCAGGCCCTTCCTTTTGCAAAACCCTTTCCACATAGTGAGGAGACCCTAAAGTCAAGGAGACAGGTCCTCTCTGAAGTCAACCTGCCACACGTAGACCATCCTCATCAAATGGCCTGTAGCAAGCAGCAGATCTTGCTTGGGCTTCTGTCTTGGGTCTGTCCTCCCAAAGGTAGCCATTACTCTACGCACACCCCTGGGCCCTTGAGATGACCAAAGAGTGGCGAGTGGGCAGGCAGGGACCGGGGCAGACCTTGGACTTGGTGACTGGGGTGTCCTCATGGATGCTCACGTGGCCCCTAATGTGAAGAATAAAGCCATCGATGGGAAGAAAAGGGGAATAAGACATAAGCTTGAGTCCTCCATTTGTACTTCTGTCCTGGGCTCTGCAAATGGCAGGAGTAGGCCTGTAGGCAGAAAGGGAGTGAATGGATCCCCTCAAATGTATGTGCAGGTTAATTAATTTGATTTTGTTAGAGCACCATAACATAGCAGCTCTTTGGTTATCAGCCTCATGTAAACCCACCTCTCAAGCAAGTGGCATATAAACCAAAGGCCAGGGACGCTTGGGTGGCTCACTTGGTTAGACATCTGACTTCGGCTCAGGTTTGTGAGTTTGAGCCCCACATTGGGCTCTGTGCTGACAGCTCAGAGCCTGGAGCCAGCTTTGGATTCTGTGTGTCCCTCTCTCTGTTACTCCCCTAAGCATGCGCGTGTGCTCTCTCTCAAAAATAAATAAACGTTAAAAAATAAAACAAAAAAACCCAAAGGCCAGTTCATTCACAATGAAAACCAAAGCGTCCAGGCAGACTGGGATATTTATGTCAGTTGATCAAATATTTGCTCCCTATAGGAAACTCTATATGGAAAACCAGATTATAGTCAGCCATGTTCTTGGCAAATGTGGAGTCAGAGGACGGGGAGTTAAGAGCAAGGCCTGTGCTTCAGATTGAAGCTTTGCTTTCCCTGCTTGGAATTCATGGCTTTTAAAATGAAAGTTTCAGAGGATCCTGGGTGGCTCAGTGGGTTAAGGGTCGACTCTTGATTTTAGCTCAGGTCATGATCTTACAGTTCATGGGATCAGCCCTGCATCTAAGCCCTTCTGTACTGACAGTGAGGAGCCTGCATGGGATTCTCTCTCCCTCTCTCTCTCTGCCCTTCCTCCTCCTCCTCTTCTTCCTCCTTCTCCTCCTCCTCTCTTTTCTCTCTCTCTTCTCCCTCTCTCAAAAATAAAGAAATAAATGAAAAAAATAAAATAAAATGAAAGTTTCAGAAAGAAAGTCTCAATTCATGTTGTATTGGACTAAATACCAGTGACAAGCCTGGAAGAAAGTTTAGGAGTCTCCACTGGTCATGAGAAGACTGACCACTTTATAAATCTTTTCAGTTAGTCCCATCCCTAGCAGGGACATTAACAGGGAAACTGAAACAGAGAAATTCTCAGTTTTTATTAAAATTACTAACCAGCATTTCGCTTTCATGCCCTTGGCTTACCATCTGCAGTAACTTGCACTGGTTATTATAAATATGTTTTTCTATATCTTGGATTTCAAAGCGAGAGTGCAACAGGAATGCTTTTCGAGCTTTCCATCATCCCTTCCCTGCCAGTTCGTCCATTCATTATTACCTTTCCTATTTTTTTCCATCATGAATACACTTTAATCCCCATCACCCATTTCACCCATCTCCCCACCCACCTCTCCTCTGATAACCATCAGTTTGTTCTCTGTAATTCAGAGTCTGTTTCTTAGTCTCTTTCTCTTTTCCTGGGGAAAAAAGTCTTTAAAAGAATCAGGGAGGATTAAATGGAAATCCAGTGAAGATCAGTGTGTGTGTGTGTGTGTGTGTGTGTGTGAGTCTGTGCGTGCTTGTTACTTCTGGGGATGTGTGTAATTGCGTGCATGCCTGTGTGTGGTTGCACAGGCTTCGATCCCTTTATGCTTGGTACTCCGGGGGATCTGTTCAGAGGCTGGAATGCAACCGCAGGCAGATGCTTGTCTTTTCTCAACAGTGGCAAGGAAAGGAGAAGGAGGAAGACACAGCCATAAGGGGCTTGCTGGCAAAACACGGGGTGAGTGATTTCCAGGTTTCATGAGCCAATTAATACATTTCCGAATGAAATAGACTTTTAGGCTGTCCAGATGTACATGTCATATTTATGAAGAGAATGGAAAACCCTCACAGTGATCCTAAAGCTATCTATCCCCTGACTTGGTATCGACATCCATGTTGTAGTAAGATTTTATAGCAGGCAGCATCTAAAGATCTCAGAAAATCCTTTCTAGATGATGCCATCCTCATGGTTGCCCCTCGCCTTTACTTATGCTGTTCTCTCTCCTTGCCATCTCTAAGTCTTACTTACGAAGCTTAGGTCATGGTGGGGTCTCGTGTTTTGCTGTTCAACGAGGTTAGGCAGGAGCCGGAGGGAATCAATCCAGATAAATACGCTGCCTGAAGATGTGCTGTTAGCGGAGACATCTGTCGACCACAAGTCTGGCAAATTCTGGTCACTGGCCTGACGAAGGAAATGTGTACCTGGTGGAAAATGTCCCCGCTGCTGTAGGAAACAACAACAATACAACTTAGAGAAAGTGCAATCATTCTTCTAAGCTCGGCAATGATGACGTTGCATTCAGAATAATGAAAACAGAACATAAACTTGCAGAATTTTGGTATAAACATCTTGCAGGATGAAATGGAAGGCAGTTGAGCTAAATCTTCATCTACTGTAATGTCTAAAATTGGTGGACAACAGCAGCATAAGCATATTCTTTAGACGCATGGGCCTCGTTCAAGAACAAAGAGCTTAAAAGAGCAGAAAATAGTTGCCACTGGACAGTGAAATGGGTGTGTAGGAGAGAACCATGGCCTCAGCGATGAGCTTACTAGTCCCATTCAACTTCTGAAGTCACTTGCACATGTTGCTCTGAGAAAACCACATTTAGAAACATTGAATTTTGAGGGCGCCTAGGTGGCTCAGTCACCTAAGCATCTGACTTCGGCTCAGGTCATGGTCTCATGGTTCGTGAGTTCGAGCCCTGCATTGGGCTCTGTGTTATCAGCCTAGGATCCCCTCTCTCCCTCTCTCTCTCTCTGCCCTTCTCCCACTGGCTCACACGCTCTCCTCTCTCTCAAATATAAACTTAAAAAATTTTGAATTTTGTCCAATTCCATAACTCAGTGCATTGGGAGGTTAGTATCACTAATTCCTCCTTCCCTGTATACAGACAAAAGATCACAGTTTTTCCCATCTTGCACATTCCTCAATTTGGAGCCCTTTATCCTGTGCAATCCAAAAACACTGTAACTGGGGCAGTGAACTCCCCTGGGCTAGATTGTCTATGAAGGTCTATTTTCAACATGTCTGGGTTTTCTGCATGCACAGGCTTCACATACAGGAGCTATTGTTGAAGGAAGAATTATTTGATAACATTGAAATAATTTGCAGTGAGACAAATATTTGAAATAAGAGGCTTAATTTTTAAGGGAATGTGCCCCCTAGATTGCTGCCAACGAGCATAAATTTGCATTCGGCACGAAGAGGAAAACAAAGTAGTGAAATGTTAAGCAACCCTTGGTTTGTAAAGATGGGGACTAGTCCCTTGGGAGTTTATACAATTCCTCTCTTGAGGTCATTTGCACTTTTTCATTGTTTATTTGCACATTCCTGGCTTCACTCAAGTAATAAAAGATTTTTATTTCTTCTGCTTATCCCTTAGTTATACACCAGGTGCCTTGCCTGAAACTTGAAGACTGGGACGAGATTGCTCCAAACAAAAGTAGCAAAGTGCAGAGCCAGAGAATTCTCTGGACACAAAGGCTTTGCAATAGAGAACTGTATAATGCAGCCAGCAGGTCAGCTGCAAACCAATGCCCCTGCCCCGCAGCCCAGGGTAACTAGATTCCTTACCGTCCTTGGGGACAGAGATGCCCACAGCACTAACTTCAGCCAGGTAAGCGATGCTGATTCTAAACCCAACAGTCTCTGGGTGGGGTTGGAAACGTGTGCGTGAGAAGAGCAACCCCACGCATGAGGCTGTGAGAGCACTCTTGACCTACACGCCAGGCACCCCATCAGCCGGTTCTGCGGCCCCCGCGGCTCAGCTCCGGGCTTCGTGCCTTTCCGTCCACACTGCAGGGCCCTCCATGCCAAGAAGACAAATGGAGGAAGAAACTGACCCCAGGTTACTCATTTGGTGATGCTTGCCACCCAAGGAACGTGTGGAATATCAAAACCCCGTTAAAAAGCCAGAGTGGCAGTGAGTGTGGTGATCATTTGCTCACACTCTCCAAAATAGAACAGAAATCGGCGGGTCTGTGTTTGGTTAGCAGCTCTCCGACTTCCCATTTTATAACAGAAGTCTAGCCATCAACCAGTAAATGTCTGCTGCATAGCAAAAGCCTCATGATTGTTTCCTAATGAATGTTGAAATAGCTTGAGCTTTTCGGACCTCTGTGGCTCTTAAAATTAAGGAGGTTGGTATGACTGGTAATAATGATGCTCATTAATATTTATTGAGTACTTAGTATGTGCTGGGCATAGTTGTGAATTAAATATTTTAATTGTCACAAAAACCGTATTATCTTCTTTTAAGCTACAAGGAAATCAAAGTGCAGAGAAGTTAAATGACTGAGCCAAAGTTACTCATTTGGTAAGAGGCAGAACCAGGATTCAAAACTCCTAGGACACCTGAGTGGTTCAGTCAGTTACGTGTCTGACTCTTGATTTCAGCTCAGGCCATGATCTCACACTTCATGAGTTTGAGCTCCGCATCGGGCTCTGAGCTGACAGTGAGGAGCCTGCTTTGGAATCTCTCTCTCCCCCTCTCTCTCTGGCCCTCCCCTACTCGCTCTCACTCTCTCTCTCTCTCCCCCAAAATAAATAAATAAACTTTTAAACCAACTCCCAAGCCCCTCTGTTTACCCATTATGCTTTTGTCAACTTCTAGCATATACTATTATTCTTATTCTGTTGTTATTATCAATAGGAAGATGTCTAATCTCTCATTGCAATTCTCCATATACTGCCTGTTTTACTTACCATAGATCAGTCCTCTATGTATCCATCGATACTTGAGCCTCCAAACATCACTGAAAAGCCTATATTTATGATTCAGATATGAGAAACCAGGAATTTTATACCAACCCGTGGATAAAGTATGAAGTAGGGAGGGATAGCATGCAGGATGACAGAGTCACCAACCAAAACATGCTAACAAGCAAGGAGCAGCTTTTTTTTTTTTTTCAGTTTCTTTAGAGAGAGAGAGAGGGAGAAAGCATGAGTCAGGGAGGGACAGAGAGAGAGAGAGAGAGAGAAAAACTCCCAAGCAGGCTCCGCACTGTCGGGGCAGAGCCCCTCAAACCCACAAACGGTGAGATCGTGACCTGAACCGAAGTCAGACACGTAACGGACTGAACCACCCAGGTGCCCCAGGAGCAGATTTAACAATTCAAGGACTAGGAACACACGGCAGCGTGCTGCAGAACCAGCTCTCTGAAATCAAAAGCCTTGATGCATAGTGACCCGGGTGACGCCATGGGTGGAGGGTCACAGTCACCGGGGAGGAAGCACTGGATTTTTGGATTTAGATGACTGCGTATAGGTCCTACTGATTGCATACCCTAAGCAATCCTGTTTTCCTCACTGAAGCTGCTTCCACTTCTGTAAAATGGGGATGTGTCCAGTACCTTACAGGCCTGTCCTAAGGATTGAATGGGATGACATAGGAAAACCCTTGGCAAATTAAAGATTTGCCACTCAGAGTGGGTCCCCAGACCAGCAGCATCAACATCGTGCAGGACTTAGTAGACAGGCAAGTTCTCAGGCCCCACCCCAGACCTACTGAATCAGAACAAGAATTTCAAGAGGATCCCTTCGTCATATGCACATTAAAGTTTGAGAAGTCCTGCTCTGGGGCACTAAACAAATGCAGCCAGTTATTCGAGCTCTGTTTTCCTTTCATATACTGCCAGTGAAAGACAACATGGCCAACTTTAAAGGACGGGGCCTTCTTAAAGGTTCCCATATGCTCTTCCCGGATCCCACTGAATTCAGCAGGTATGACCGAGCAGGTTACTCCTGGCGAGCATTTCCCTTTGTTCAGGATAGGCCCACTTGAGAGAGAGAGAGAGAGAGAGAGAGAGAGAGACTGCCTTATATAATCCTGGGCGATTTTTGAGGTGACAGAGCCAATAAAATGCAAATCCACGTATACAAAATCATCTTGGCCTTGGGAAAGTTGGTTAAATACGAGACTGAATGTAAGTTGCAGCCAAAGTGGAGTTGAAGTGGGTTTTAATCTTTCCTGTTCAGGGTCCTTGGGAGCAACAGCTAAGGGAAGCAACTCAGAGTGAGAGGGTGCTTTCGAAAGCATTTGTGTTTTGTTAGACCCCTGTTGTGTATGAGAGACACATAAAAGGTGCTTCATCAACACCTGGTAGACTGGGTTGAATACTCTTATCAGCTTCCTGTGAAAAGATCCTAAATATAATTGTGAGCCTGTGCGGACATGGGGGTGTTAGATAGAATATAAGGACCCCTTGATGTTTGGCCAGTAATGGAGTTTAGGATACACTACCCTCAAATATGGCATCTTGAATATTTTTTTTCCTTTTTTTTTACTGAGGTATAGTTAACATAGGACAGTATATTAGTATCGGGCATACAACATAATGACCCAATATTTGTATATATTGCGATATGATCCCCACAATAAACCTAGTTAACATCTGTCATCACATACAGTTACAGGATTTTTTTTTCTTGTGATGAGAACTTTTAAGATCTACTCTCTTAACAACTTCCAAATATACAACACAGTATTATTGACTACAGTCACCGTGCATCCCCGTGACTTACTTATTTCATAACTGGAAGTTTGTGCCTTTTGACTCCCTTCACCCATTTTGCCCACCCTCAACCCCCAGCCTCTGGAAACCACCGTTTCTATGCAGTAGAGGAAACAGCCACCTCTCATGGTCTTGAAAGAGTGGCCTCGAGTAGGAGATAAGCCTTGTCATTTGACCCTGACCTATCTTCCTAGCTATTAGCTAGTCTCTCAAACTTCTGTGATTGTCCAAGCAGCCTATTTTATTTTTAATAGCTCCCAGTAGTTGAGGATGTGCCAGGACCCGTCAGTGTCCCAAGGGGAGAATCTCAATCAGCACTTAGATTCAGGCTGATTGGAAGTTGGACCCCCAGGCTTCTGAAGAAGGCAAATATATACATTCCACAAACATAAGCCTAGCTGGCCCCCAGAGCCAGGTGATCTGGTGGTGTCCAGTGTCCCCTTGCCAGCAGTCACAAAAACCGAGACTCCAGACAAGCATACAAGCTCATTTCTGAGCTATCAGTGGGCTGTAGAGGGAGAGTGCAAAAATGGCGTCCCTCTGGCTACACTCCCTGAGAGCACTTCTGTAGCCTCTAAATGTGTGCCAAACCTGAAGCCTCCCCCTAAAACTGAAGCTCCAGGACTAGCAATTAGGTCTCTTTCACAGAAGGGCTGGGGTTGTGTTTCAATCTGCTGTCTGGATAGTGCTCTGGGGGTGGTGGCCTGCCAAGAACGGTCTCTCCCATTGTTACAGGCCTGTCGGACCCAGGAACACATCCCCCCCGGCCACCAGAGCCAGGCCATCAAGGGGCATCTCTTAGGCAGCAGCCACAAAAACCAGGGCACCAGGGAAGGGTATAAACTCTTTTCTGTAAGATAGAGGGGAGCCAGGGCAAGGCGGAGGGAGAATGCAAAGATTCTGTTCACCAAGAGCCCCTCTGAGACATTTCCGTGTGCCAAACCAGAAGCCTGCCCCTCAGTCCAAAGTTCCTGGAAAAGCAAATATGCCTCATTCTCAGGAAGACTGGGGTGTGTTTCAGTCTGCTGTCTGCGGAGTGCCCTAGGAGTAGTGGCCTGCCAAGAACTGTCTCCCCCATTGTTACATCTTATGGGACCCAGGATCACACACACCCCCAACCCCTGCAAGGCTTCCAGATCTAGGCAGTCATGGGACATCTCCTAGGTGGCAGCGATGAAACCCAGGTCACCAGATGTAAAAACCAAGGCACCAGACGCTCCCCTTTTTCCCTCTGTGAGATACTGGCCCTTGAGAGTGACAGGCAGAGAGCATAAAGATGGCAACTACTGGCTGGAGTGAGACAGAGAGGAAGTTCAAAGATAGGACTCACGGAAAATAAGTTTGAAAAAAGAAAAAGAAAGAAAAAAAGAGGAGGAGGAAGGAGGGAAGTTAAGAGAGAGACAGTGATTGCCGGCTTTAGCAAGGAAGAGGGAGCGCATGGAAGATGGCCCCTGCCAGCTGGAATATAGAGCCCATACCCAAGGGAAAGGAAAAAAAAAAAAAAAAAAGATGGTGCCTATTGGCCTTAGCAAGGCCGAGGGAAAGCACCAAGATGGCATCCAACAACTTCTTTCCCTGGAGGGTATTCTTGCAGGCTCCTGCCACCTTAGACCAACACTTTAAAATTAAGAAATGAGTTTCGCATAATGTTTGGGCACTTTTCAGAGGGCTGCTTCTACACTGGCCCAGGATCGGGTGAGTCAACACATGATCCCTTTAAGAGACTCGGTTTGCCATAGCCCTGCAGGTCTGGTGGATAGGCACCCTGTTGGTCTTCAATGCCAGATATTTTGGGGGCTTGTCTCTCAGATGCTGATTTTAAAAGTTGGGGTGCCAAACGTAGGGTATGAACCCTTCTCCTTAGGGAGAAGCCCCAGGTTTTGAGTTCCCAACCAATTGTGGGTTGCCATCTTGAACCGGAACCCCCTATTGAATACTTTAAGCTGAAGGAGTTGGAGAAACAGCAAAATGGGCCCCTTCGTATAGCTCTTCTCTTCAGAAACAGATTATAAAATCCCCAATTAAGAGATCTTCTCCCTGTATCCGGAGGAAAGGAGTGTTCTTATCTCTGAAGACAAAGGTGACACCACCAACAAAAATCTGAACGGGCCTCACTAAATTTCCCCCAGTTTACTACACTTACCTCATACTTTTTGGCCTATCGTGTTTCTACACGACTGTCCACTTTTCAGCAAATATAGCATAAAAATACTCAGGCTTATCTGTTTCTTTAGGTCTTTATTTCCTTATGAAGGCTCCTGTGTCATGTAAAATTTGCACTAAACAAATTTGCGTGCTTCTCCCCTGATAATCTGTCTTTGTCAGTTTAATTTTGAGACCCAGCCAGGAATCTTAAGTGGGTTGAGGAAAACATTTCACTACCTTATTCTGGCATAGACACACACACACACACACACACATAATATTCCTTCTTTTCACGACTGTTATCATCTTATCCATCTTCCAGTCCCCTGGTCGAAAAATAACCATGTGAACACATAATTTTAATAACCTGTCAAAGTGTCATAATGGAAATGGAATGGTGCCATTTGTAAATCACTATTTATCAAAAAAAAAAAATTCTTTGCATTTCAAAAGAGATTTAAATAGATGTCCTAAATTTGGTTTGTTTAAAAAAACAGTCTGTTCCAGAAAGTCTCTAAGACTTGAATAAAAAAATTAAAACACATTAATTGAAGTGCGCAGACTTCAATAATTGTGCATTTTTCTAAAACTTCAAAGGTCAGAGAACTTTGGGTCAGGGGAGAGAAAATGTCTCCTCCGGAGAATATTCCAGTTGGGTTTATGTGCTTCTCAGGAGCAGTGCTATTCTCCATGTTTTGTTGGTTTGGTTTTGCTCTTGCCACAAAGGAAACAGAAACCAGCAAGCTGCAAGGGTCGGGAGCACCGTCTCCTTGAGAGATTAGCCGCAAGCACCAGTTGGTTTGCATAAGGCATGGAGAGTTGCCTGGGAGGACTTTGTCCTCAAGATCCTTCTGCATCCAAGAGCACAGGAGCTAAGGTAAAGCTGTGTGTGATACATTTGCATTTCTAAAAAGGTTTGATATGAGTTGGTTTCACTCTGCCTCAGGGGTAAAATTATATAAAGCACTATTTGATAACAGTGGAAAGTCTGTCAGAAGGTGTCCCTACATTTGCATGTATTTGTTTACATTTTGGTCTAAAATCTATATTCACTTAGGATTCAAGCATGTCTGGCTATGGGGTGAGTCCCCAGGGTCTTTTAAATGACAGACCAAAGGTCATGATCTCACACGGTTTGTGAATTCAAGCCCTGGGTCGGGCTCTGTGCTGGTAGCGTGAAGCCTGGTTGGGATTCTGTCTCCTTCTCTAGCTGCCCCTCTCCCCTCGCTCTCTGTATCTTTGTCAAAATAAATAAAAAATAAACTTAAAAAAAAAAAATGACAGACCAAGGGAAGCAAGGATAGAGGTCCACAAGTTTTAGGTTCTAGGACAAAATGCAGCCTCCTGGGAGATGTTTCTAATATAATAAAGTCCTTAGGGCACCTGGGTGGCTCAGTCGGTTGAGCATTTGACTTCGGCTCAAGTCATGATCTCATGGCTTGTGAGTTCGAGCCCCACATTGGGCTCTGTGCTGACAGCCCAGAGCCTGGAGCCTGCTTCAGATTCTGTGTCTCCCTCTCTGCCCCTCCCCTGTTCTCACTCTGTCTCTCTCTGTCTCTCTCTGCCCCTCCCACACTCATGCGCATGCTCTCTCTCTCTCTCTCTCTCTCTCTCTCTCAGAAGTAAATAAACATTAAAAACATTAGAGGGGTGCCTGGGTGGCTCAGTCGGTTAAGTGGCCGACTTCGGCTCAGGTCATGATCTTACGGTCCGTGAGTTCGAGCCCCGCGTCGGGCTCTGTGCTGACGGCTCAGAGCCTGGAGCCTGTTTCAGATTCTGTGTCTCCCTCTCTCTGACCCTCCCCCATTCATGCTTTGTCTCTCTCTGTCTCAAAAATAAATAAACATTAAAAAAAATGAAGGGGCGCCTGGGTGGCGCAGTCGGTTCAGCATCCGACTTCAGCCAGGTCACGATCTCGCGGTCCGTGAGTTCGAGCCTCGCGTCGGGCTCTGGGCTGATAGCTCAGAGCCTGGAGCCTGTTTCCGATTCTGTGTCTCCCTCTCTCTCTGCCCCTCCCCCGTTCATGCTCTGTCTCTCTCTGTCCCAAAAATACATAAGCGTTGAAAAAATAAAAAATAAAAATAAAAATAAATTGAAAAAAAACCATTAGAAATAAAAATAAATAAATAAATAAACACTTAATGTAATAAAATCCAACTTTCAGATCTTCCCTTGATCCAACTGGCATGAGTTCAATCAAGGCCGACTCGTCGGAAGAGGAGGCTGCCAAAACAGAGCTGCCTTAGCCCAGGGTCCACGGAGGACAAGCACTGGCATCAGCAGACCCGGCACCTCTGGTGGCCGTGTTGGCAGACAAAGCCCTCAACCCCTCTGCCAAGGCACCGACACTGATGGACAGTAACAGCAGTACCTTCAGCAGCTCCTTGTGGCATCTTTGGTCAGTATCAGTGGGTGAGTCGCTAAATCGGGCAGTGGCAGTGACCAGAGATAACGCCTCAAAGAGCCACAAAAGAGAAAAGGAGAATGGTAACTGTCACATCACAACTAAGAACCACTGCTGTATATGAATGACATACCCTCAGGGACACGGAGAACTGGAGAAGGGGGGTGGGGGGGTGGGAAGGGGGGGAGTCCTGAACAGCAGGTCACCGCAGGGACAAAGAAACACAATTTTGTGATTGTATTAGTGAACCCTTCCTTGCCTCCTCCTCCCCCACCGCCTGCCCCAAGACTGGTGGGATATAGAAAACAAAGGATAGAACAGAGAAGTCTAAGTTTGTGGAAGCATAAGCTATAAATCTGAGATTCAGCCACCCGTGCTTACAGAAGGCCCAGCGGGCCACTTTATTTTTTTAAGTGTATTCATTTTTTGAGAGAGAGAGAATGCACAGGGGAGGGGCAGAGAGAGAGAGGGAGAGAGAGAATCTCAAGCAGGCTCCAAGCTCAGTGCAGAGTCCCACACAGGGCTCGATCCCACAAACTGTAAGATCATGACCTGAGTCAAAATCAAGAGTCAGATGCTTAACTGACTGAGCCACCCAGGGGCCCCCCAGATGGGGCACTTTATAACAAGATACCGCTATTGGGTTAGCGGCATTTGCTACTCAAACTTATAAATTAAGAATCAAATTCGCAGCCACCTCAGCCGCTGCCAAAACCCCTGCAGCTGCCGCTGAGCCCACAGGTGTCCCAGGCACAGGGCCCACCTTTATCCAACTGCCCTTCCGTGAACATTTGCTAACAGAATCCTCACCCTTGCTCACTGCTTCATTAATGGACAGCAGCGTATTGCTCAAGACCCACGGTTCAGATTTTCTTCCTTGATCTTCTCTTTCTGGATCACCACCAACTGTTTCTTTAAAACATGGAGTTAGTACTATTACATCCTTGAATATGAAAACTAGATGCAATTGTGACGCTCGAGAAAGGGAGACTATGTAATTCCACAGTAGACAGAACTGCGCTGAGGAAACAATTTAGATCATAAATGAAAAGTTCTTGTGTTGAAGATTCCACATCTGTCACCTACCAGTTGCATGGTCTCTGGCTTACCCTAAGTCTCATGTGAAATGGAAATAATAATCATTTCTGTGTCTCAGAAATATAGGGACCATAGGGGACAAAGGGGCTATACCCACGATGCTTATGATTCCCTTCCCTTCCACATTCCGTACGTGCGGAATCTATCCACCACCACACCCCGCCTGAGAGGCAGCGCTGCTAACTGCATGACCCTCTCACCCGGCCACAGCTCACTAAAGCCCAGGGGGACAACTGAGCCAGGCTCGGCCAGTCAGAAATGTGCCTTCCTCATACCTCAGCTCCACTTCCCTTTGGGTGAGCTTCGTACTCAGGCAGGCAGTCCGCCATGATGGCAAGATGGCCCCCAGCAGTTCCAGGCTTACTCCTACCTGCTTAATAAGTCCCACAGAAAACTCCCTCTTTGCTTACAGTTCCGGTCAAACTCCCAGGGATGGTTCTGATCAGCCTGAACTGGGTCATACAGTCACCCCTAAACCAACCACTGTTGCCAAGGGAATGCCATCTTTTCTTCACTCAGGCCTGGGTCACACGTTTTTCCCTGGAGTGAGGGAGTGGTATCGGCCTCACCTGATTCACAGAGATGGAGACCTGGGGGAACAGAGTTGGCCAAAAGAAAATCGGGGCGGGGGGGGTAGTGTTGCCAAAAGAAGGGGCAAGTCATACCTGGAGAACTTTTAAGAGATAGTCCATGAACACCTGAGGTGGAAAAATGAGAAGTAAACTTTCTTGAGGAAGGAAAACCTCTTTCCTTTAACATGGGCAGAGTGACCAAAAGACTGGGAGGCAGATGGCCCCTAGGGAGCCAGCCCTCGCCCACTGCACGAGTACTTATCACGCCCCTACCACAGAGAGCCGGGTACCTGTGGATGAGTCAGTCACTGTCCTAAGGCTCAGCCTCCCCACCCACAGTCTCATTGCCAGTTCCCTGAGTCATCCCATGCCCCACCCAGCGTGTTTTGCTTTTCCCACGGTTCCCTCAAATCTCCTGGGACAGATGGCTGGCTGCCGGAACCGAAGGAAAGAACGGGTGTCTTTTAGAAACAGGAGTGCCTCTCCTGTGAGCAAAGCTCGCGGAAGGGCTGGCTCAGGTGGGTGGGGGTGGTAATTATTCTCTTTGCAGTTCCCGGCGCACTTAAAAATCAGCTTCTTTCTTATAAAGAATTGATTCATAGGCAACCTCTACCTTCTTTTAATTTCTCCATTTAAAAAAGAAACCAGACACAAACCCAAAAAACATTTGTCATTCTTTTGGAACCAGAACAGCTCAGACTTCTCTTCCTGCTTGAAGCCTTCCCCCTTCCTTCCCTTCCATCCTCTTGCTCATTTAGCTGAGAGCCAGCCTTATCAGCCCATCCCTGTCTGCTCACAGCACAACATCAATGCCACAGCCACAGGGCTTTTCGTGTGGTGTGATGGCCGTGTGGCTGTCTGGCTCCTCCACCAGGTGGGGGGATGCCTCAGAGAGGTCACCAGTGATGCGCTGCTCCTTTCGTTCCTTAGAGTCTGGCTCATGGAAAGTCCTCCCCACAGGTTTCAGCAAAAGAGTGAAAATGAGCAAGCTGTTAACTGCACTGGGGGCTGAATGCGGGAAAGATCATCTATCATGGAGTGTCTTGTCAGAGGCAAAGGCGCCCTTCGTGAAGTCATGAAGACTTTTGCTTCTTAGCATAATTTTGAGTAGCTTCTGTACCACAGATAATTCCAGAGACTGCTCTTAAGAGCCAAGACTATCCACACTAAAAGGAAATGTTTTTTCGGGACTTGTACAGGATGACAGGCCCGAGGTCTTACAACTCACTTCAGGGGAAAACTGCAACAGCCTAATTACTGTCATGCTCCATGTTTGGGTATAATATGAAACATTCACTGAGTGCTTTATAATTAATCTGCAATTAATTAATTTATTTTTTTTTAAATTTTTTTTTTCAACGTTTATTTATTTTTGTGACAGAGAGAGACAGAGCATGAACGGGGGAGAGGCAGAGAGAGAGGGAGACACAGAATCGGAAACAGGCTCCAGGCTCTGAGCCATCAGCCCAGAGCCCGACGCGGGGCTCGAACTCCCGGACCGCGAGATCGTGACCTGGCTGAAGTCGGACGCTTAACCGACTGCGCCACCTAGGCGCCCCTAATCTGCAATTAATTTAGATTTTCATGCAGTTGTGCTGTATGGGAAAAAAATCAGCAGTATAAATACAAACGATGAATAATAGGCTGTAGCTGACTATCAGGGTTTGAAACCCTCTAAAAGACAACAGGCCATGGATTTGCTTGTTTCTATCAGAAGCCATGTAGAGACATTTTAAATGTGTTTGGAGAAGAGGGTAGTAACATCCTATTATTCCAAATAATACCAATTTAAAAAAATCACAGCGGAAGAGAGAGAACAGTTCAAATCTGGTTTACCGTTGCCATCTTGCCATACGCCTGGCAAATGCAAGGAAATTTTTTATTTACCCACCTTTCACTTAATACATGTTAACTGAGCATCTATTGAGTGCTAGGCGACATGTTTTCCACGTGAAGAAGATGGTGAATGGACAGGTAAGTCACTTACCCTAAGTGTCATGAACTGAAACTCATTACAAGAAGTGAGAATTTCCGACTTCTCATTTATTTGTTCAAAATAATGTCTTCCCAAGGACCGTTCTTAACTGTATTCCCGTAGCGTTCACCCAGCACCTTCCACTTTACAAGAGGCCTCATGTATATATCGCTTTCAGTGTTCACAGTAACTGTCATGCAGACAGGATGATCATGGGTCCGAGTTTGCAACCCAAAAAGTAAAGTACCCAAGATGACACCAAAGGCCAACGGTTGAGCTGGGACCAAAACCAAGCTTCCCAGCTCTGACTCTAGTCCTTTTTCCAGTTACTCCGCATTTAAGCAGGAGGTCTGGCTGGTGCAGCCAACAATGGCTTGAGGACCCAACTTTGGCGAAGACGTGTTGTCAAGAGTCTTTCTAAAATGTGATCTCACACGTATTTGTGTGGAGCCATAAGAAATCGAAGGATTGAGACTGTGATTTTCGGCACCCATCCTTTCCACCAATTATGTGGCAGAGACTTTCCCCATTCACAGAATCCAGCCAAGGGAAGATGGAGTCTATGCAGAACACTGTTGGTAAATGGGAGGTCTCTGCGGCTGCGCTGCCACAAGCTTTGAACAAACACACATGAAAAATGCACCAGATTCTAAATCCTTGGATGCTTCTTAAGAGCTCATCTGGCTCTTTAGAATCAGACAGAAAAATCAATGACACATGTCTTTGAAGAAATGAAAGCCAAAAAAAAAAAAAAACAAAAACACTTTTAGCTTTGCCAAGTGAAGATTTTCCTGAAGTGTTCCCCGGAATGAGGTTGGTGTGGAGCATTCTTAAGTGAGCTGTTAAGCCCTGGTGCAATAGAAATAGTTGTGACTTCGTGGCTGGTGACGGGGATTCCACTCATTTCTGTCCCTCTGCCCTCCCTCCATTCTGTGTGATGACTAAATCCTCTAATAAATCCTATCCGTTTACGAGAGCTGGTCAGTGTAAACATCACTTACCAGCGCCATTAACACGTTAATGCCTTTTGGGTGGGTTGTGAAGAAAAAGGAATAAAATTCCTAAGGGTAAGGGATGTACTTCCAAGGACTGAATTGTCTCCCTTTGGAATTCATATGTTGAAACCCTAGACTCCAGGTATTTGGAGATGGGACCTTTGGGAGGTAATTAGGTTTAGATGAGGTCATGAGGAGACAGTTTTCATGATGGGATTAGTGCCCTTATGGAAAGAGACGGGGGCGCCTGGGTGGCTCAGTCCATTAAGTGACTGGCTTCGGCTCAGGTCATGATCTCACGGTCTGTTAGTTGGAGCCCCTGCGTCTGTGCCCACAGCTGAGAGCCTGGAGCCTGCTTCAGATTCTGGGTCTCCCTGTCTTCCTGCCCCTCCCCACTCTCACTCTGTCACCCTCTCTCTCAAAAATTAAAAAAAAAAAAAAACATTAAAAAAAAAAAAAGAGAGAGAGAGATAGAGACAACAAAGAGCTTGATTCTTCCCTCTTTCTCTCCACCTGCCTGCACAGAACAAAGACCATATGAGGACACAGCAAGGAGACAATTTTCTGCACCTCCAAGACAGAAGCCCCAGCAGACACTGAGCCTGCGGGACTTCCAGACCCCAGCACTGTGAGAAATAAGCCACCCGGTCTTAAGTTCTGGAAAGCAGCCACCTTGAATTAAGACATGTCATATAGTGGAAAGGGATGAAATTTAGCACCAGAAAACCTGTGTCAACTCTTGTCCTTGCTTACCCTCTTTGTGTCTCAGTTTCCTTATCTATAGAATGGGGAACTAGAAGTCCCTTCACTCCCCATATCACAAGGTCATGGTGAGAATCCAGAGAGATGAGGTTTGTAAACTGCCAACAGAATTGCTCTTCTGTTGGAGGTCTTTAATGATGTTTTGCTGGGAATCTGCCACTAAAATTGAAATCCAAAAATTGCTTAGGCAAAAGAAGTAAAAATATGGGAAATGGGAAAAGAGGTAGGTTAAGAGCTCTACTTTTTTTTTTTTTTTTAAGTGCTGGAGGGTTGAACTCATGCAAGCAAATTGTTTTAAGTGAATTTTTATGGTTTGGTTGTCTAAAAAACAATCTGACATAGCTTTCAAAATCTTGTTTATTAGAACTCAAAATTCTTGTAATTCTACTTGTTTATGTTATGTGATTATTTTATATTTTATAGTGTTTATATCTTATATTATATGGCATTTTCTATGACACTGATATACAGAATCTGACAAATTGGCAAATTAGTTATATGAAAATATATACTGGATATGAAATACAGTAACTAAGATATAAATGACCTGAGGTTAAAAATGGTACCTGTTTTTCAGGATTGAACTTATCCTATGTTAGCACAAATGGCACCTGGTGGCAGTAGGTGATACTTAAGCCCAGCTTTTATGGACTTATTTTCTGACTTTTTAGAAATATGTATTTTTTTTTTATTTTAGAGCAGATTTAGATTTATAGAAAAATAGTGAAGCTAGGACACAGAGTTCCTATAAACTCCATACCTAGTTCCCTCTATTGTTAATGTCTGTCACAACAAATGAACCAACATGGATACATTATTATTAACTAGAGTCCATACTTTATTCAAAAGTCCTTAGTTTTCATCTGTTGCTCCTTTTTGGTTCCAGGGTTCCATCCAGGACTCCACGGTGCATTCAGCTGTCATGTTTCTTTTAAGCCCCTCTTGGCTTTGATGGTTTCCCAGACTTTCCTTGTTTTTGATAACCTTGATGATTTTAAGGAGTATTGGTCAGGTATTTTGCAGAATAGCACTCTGTTTGGTTTGTCTGATGTTTTGCTCATGGTTGGACTGAGGTTATGAGCTTTGGGGAGGAAGATTTATAGACACTACTTAAATTTGGGGATATTCCAGTAGAGAGTCAGACAGTTCTCTGGCACAAGGAAAAATCTTTTTGGCCTGAAGCAGCATGGTCCACGGTGGATATCTCACAACTGGGAAAGTGCTGAAAATACAAAGAGAATCTTCCAGCAAAGTTTAGTAGGCTTAACTAATCCTAGGATGCCACAGATTGCCACAGGTCTCTTCATTATGTTAAATCCTTTCTTTCTGAGGATTTTCAACACAGTCTCCTGTTGTATGCTTTTTCTGTTTTGTTTTTTGTTTTGTTTTGTTTTGTTGGGGGGAAAGACTTTCAGTTTTGTAATAGAATTTAACTTGAAAACAGTGTTTATTTGAGAGAAATCCTCTTATAGGCAATGTCAGTGAACTACCTTAGATATCTGAAACTCCATGTTATCCCAAACATAAATGCATGAATGAGAACATGGGGGTCTATGTGCTGGAAAGAACTCTGTAACCCTGCTTCTCACAAACATTCCTTCCAGTGGAAGGGTAAAATTAATGAAGTCTCTCCCACACCACAAACCTGGGACATGATTTAAAAATGGAATGGAAAATACAGTCTCTAGACGCAGGTCATACCGGGACAGGCTGATAGTATACGACCCAGGACAACCAAGTCTGAATTTGAATCCAAGAAATTGCAGGGCTCCTGAAATACTCCTCCCAAGAATTAACTACTCTATTTAATTTTCTACAAGGGCTATGCTGTTAGTAAAAGGTAAAACAATTTTCCAAATATAGAAAAAAATATAAACATTATGTAACACACATGCATATGCTCTGTCTGTAGCTTGGTTTTTAGAGTCGACAAACATGCCTTGATGTATGTGTGAGTGTTTTGTGACTCAATCTCCTTATAATCCCACTGTAATCATTGTAATGATTCTGTTCTGTGCAGTTGAAACAATAATAGCTTATACTTATTCACAGCCTATCTGTGCTTTACATATTTTATCTCATTTAATCCTATCTAGATACTCATTGTCCTCTTCTATAAAGAAGGAAATCAAGACTTAGAGACGTTAAGTATCCTGTCTAAGGGTACACAGAGAAAAGTCAGGATTTGAATTCAAGGCAAGGACTGTTTGGATCTGAAGTCTCAGGTCCTACTGGGCTACACTACCTCTGCGTCACTGAGTTTATTTCAAAATGCCTTCTGTGAGAGCAAGAACCGTATCTCTTCTTAATAGATGGGGTCTCACAATTCCATTCATATGGCACAGGTGTAGTAATATTTGAAAACAAGGAAGAGGAGGATGTATTATTACTACTGATTATCACTGTCAAGGTAAAAACAAACAAACAAACAAACAAAACACAACTCTTATCTCCTAATTGACTCCCAGGCCAATAGGAAGATAAGAGAAGCCCAGCCACTCAGCAGCCTTGTCACCCAGAACTAGAGCTACAGTGGCTCAAATATCCATGCCCTAAAATACAGAAAATTTGAGGTACAGGAAGGCCAACAGATCAGGAGATGATTGCCATTGAGAAGATAGTTTGTGATAGTTCCCAAGAGAAGGGGACATGCCACATGTTGGGGGCCACACTGGGAAGCACCAGGGTCAGTCAGGAGGCAGAGGAAGTGGGGGCGAACTGTGGGCAAGAGCCTTTGTTTTGGTTTCTATGGGAAGGAAGAAGCGAGGCAGGGTGGACAGTCTGGGGACTGGCTCATGTGAATAACTTCAGCAGGCTCTGGGGCTGTGCCTAGCTGTCTGGTACCTAGCCCTGGCATGGTTAGGGCAGGTGGAGTGTGAGAGCCCAATAAAGGAGGTGGGTTGCAGTGTGGACTCTGGACTGTTTGGCTTCTATTTGAAAAGCACTCACGGACAAGTTGTTTACTATTTCTAGGAATTGGCTAACCTTAGGAGGTAGAGTCCCCTTAAGGTCAGTAAGACCCCCAAATGTCAAAATGTTTGAATACAGAAAATAAAAAACATGGTTGATAGACTCCAGCTAAGAGGCTTTCTGGCCATTCTAAATTGGGAAAGGCATATGAATGTACCCATAAGCCAGGCAGAAGTACCCAAGAGCTAATTTAGCTGAAAACAATAGAGATGGGTCATAATGCCGTCATATGTAGAGGGAGAAGAAAACAAAACCAATGAAAACTGGAAAATAACCTGGGCCTAGATTATCTGGGTTACCTTAAAAAACTTGTCACAAGTTAGTGCTTCATAAGAGAGCACACAAAGCTTAGTGTCCATCAGGCATTAGGCATTAGAGGGTAGAATTGCGACTATTTCTCTTATCCAAATCATTAACAAGCAACATTCTGCACTCTAGTATATGTCGTTTTTCTCTCTCTCTCCCTCCCTCCCTTCCACCTTCCTTCCCTTCTTCTCCCTCTCTTCCATAAACACATAGCAATAGTTTGCCTAAATGTGAGCTCATCTGTGAGACACTACCCATCCGTCCCCCTAACACACACCATATCACACACTGTTAAGAGTCTGTGTTTAGTGGGCCCACGTTGGCAGAAACGGGCCTTTTTATTTTTCTCGAAAGCTACAGTAAGAAATACATAACACAAAGTAGACTCTGACCTGTGTCTTTGGCCTCACAGATTCCTTAATACCAGAAGCAGTATTTTCAAGCCCAACAGTGCTGTTTACTCCAGGAAGAGTTTTCTTCATAATCACGGGAAAATCAAAAACCACACTATCTCAAGTTGCGGCAAACACTTTATTCTCCTCATTAACGTCTCAAAACTGTCAGAAGCCAAAGCTTGAAAAAGCCCTATGGCAATAAATGTGACTGTTTTACAAAGAGAAGAAAGAGATTGCAAGAAGTTATGTTTCTGTTCGCCGTATTTTTGAGTATTTTTCCTTGGCGAAGTCCTCAACCAAATTCGAATACATCAGACACAGTGCCGATAGAAGTAAAAGAAGTAATCTGTAAAGAATATCCCAGCAAAATAAGGGTCCGTTGAACAGTCAGCTAAATCCTGTCAGAACAGAAGAAAAAAGGAGAATGACTAAAGTAAAAATGAGTTAAAGTAATTGACTGACTGAATTGAATTGATCGATGGATTGATTTAATGGTCTGTTTCTTTCTCACCGGAAAAGAAAAAGAAAAAGGGGGGGAAAAAAAGAAAGAAAGCTTACCGGTGCAGCTACACGGAAGTGGTATGTGCTATCAAAGAATGGGGCTACAGGGAGGCTCCAAATGTGCTGATAGCCCTAAATAACGAATGAAAGGGAGATCCATTTCATAACCACATTTTACTCTCCGTTGGAAAGACTATAGTCTGAGAAAGCATTTCCTTGACTACTCTAGGAAAGGTATCCATGACAATAGCTTTTGACAGGAGTCGCTAAAACAGTCTGCAGTTTCTGAAGGACACATGGAGGATGCTGAGCAAAGCCCTGTGACCAGGGTCAGCCAGCAAGGAGAAACAGCGGCATTTGGCTCACGGCATCCCTCTCCTGGTGGGGAACAGAGGCTGTGCCACAATTCTAGACACACTTCTTCTGGAACAGGGAGGGAATGCCCAGGGGCTGGAAAACATTACCTGTGTCATCTCCTGGGAGACCTCTTGGTGGCTTTGTATCCCTTTGGCTTCCCTTTTACTATGGAAACATATATTTCCGAGGGTGAAATTGCATTGGAAGACTATCAATGGTTCTGTTGTGCTTCAAGAGACAAAGGAGAGAAAGGGCAAATGGAAAGCAGTTACCAGCTCCACTAGGCGATACCTTGATAAAAAGAGGTGCGAATGGGAACGTAACTTGGAAATCTATTCAAAGTTTCTTGCACGCATTTTATTACACAAAGCTCATCAATGCCAGTATGCCCGTTCCCATCTCATTATTACAGAAAGAAACTCAGTCTCAGATGATTACTGTCATGGACTTAATGTTTGTGTTCCCCTCCCCCAAATCCATATGCTGAAATCCCAACTTCCAATGTGATGTGTTAGGCAGTAGAGTCTATGGGAAGTGATTAGGTCTTGAGCATGGAGCCTTCATGGGTGGGATTACTGATCTTATCGAAAGGACCTCAGAGAGCTCTCTTGTTCCTTTGCTATATGGACACAGTGAGGAGACGGCCTTCTATGAAACAGGAAGCAGACCCTCACCAGATGCCAAATCTGCCAGGGCCTTGATATGGGACTTCCCAACCTCCAGAAGGGTGGAAAATAAATGTTTGTTAAGGCACTCAGTCTATGGTATTTCTGTTATAGCAGCCTGAATTGACCAAAACAACTACTGGGGTAGCATATGATAGAGTCCCTAAGATCTAATCTCATGACTTAAATCACCCTAGCATCAGAAGTTCTTATCCCCACAGATTAGAAAATACTTTTTGAAGATATCCATTCTCTTTTCTCTGGCAACTGAATTTGCATCTACCTGAAGTTTCCAGGATTTCAGATTCTTTCTACACACCCCTGATCTGAGGAGATACTGTTTGAAGCAGCAAGGTGCACAAACACAGGAAGGGATGTGGGGGTGAGCCCCATTAGAATTTACCTCCCTTAAAAGCTATCAGAGTAGAAGTCCTGCCAGAAAGAATGACTCTTCTCTGGAGGTTAGCCCATTAATTATCATCAAGAGGCTGAGATCCATCTGTCCTTGGAAATGATCTTATTGCACAAGTGGGACAACCTACAATCTCAGTTGAGTATGTGTGTTATTTTTAAATCACACATATTGGACAAATGGCTCTTCACCTAAAAAGCCTGATTTAGTGGCTCAAGATGGTTTTCTGCCACTTCAGGGGACATACCGTGTCAGCTTACTTCCTGCCATTGAAGCTAGGAATGAAGGAGGAAATGCTATTCCAGGCTACTCAGGGAGTGCTAGAAAACAGTACATTTAGCTCTTGCTCTGCATGAAATGTGATGGGCTCTGAGTCACGAAACACTTGCTGCTTGAAACAAACCTTTCCAAGGCAAGCCGTTGGGTTGAGTGTCATGAACTCATTGTAGAAGCAAAGTTGATGAGGGAAGAAGTATGAAGCCCAAGTGAAACAGAAGAAGGGACAGATGGAGGAGGAGTAACAGAGCTGGGAAAGCAGAGAGGGAGCGTGGAGGACAGAGAAAAGGAAAAGAGAGGCCGAAAACAAAGGGGAGAAGAGAGGAAATGTGGAGAGGGGGGAGAAAAGGAGAGACTATAATCAAGAGACACAAAATAAAAACCATCTATCTTCCTGATGAGCAGCTCATTGCATAATTTGAGTGAAGTGGGTCGAAAGTCTTAGAAGTACCATAGTTATTTTAAATATTTGGTACGAATAGATTAAATTAGAGCTTTGTGATTTTGAAGGAAAGGTACTGATAATAAAAGCTACAATTGAGGCGCCTGGGTGGCTCAAGTTGGTTAAGTGTCCGGCTCTTGTTTTTGGCAGAGGTCATGATCTCACGCTTTTGTGAGTCTGAGCCCCACATCTGTGATGCCACCATAGAGCTTGCCCGGGATTCTCTCTCTCTCCCTTTCTCTCTGCCCCTCCTCCGCTCACACTGTCTCTCTCTCTCAAACAAAATAAAATAACTTAGAATTTTTATATAAAAAAAAGAGCTATCATTTATTAAGTGTCTCATATGTGCCAGGAAAGGGCAACGTTTTTACATCTCTCATCTCACTGGGAAGGCAGGAAAGTGATGGTTTAAAGGATGGGCTGAGTTTGAAACCCAACTCTACCATTTACTGTCTGCGAGTTTCAGGACAAGTGTGTTTGACCTCCCTAGACCTAAGCGTTCCCATCTGAAAAATATAAACTAGAAGAGAAATACCGAACTCAGAGGGTTATTGTGAGGATTATAT